CAGGGGTGCTGGGGGGGTGTCGGGTGGGCCCTCGGGATCTGCTGGGGCAGAGGGACAGGCATCGCCTTCACTCGTTTATTCCCATGCTTGTTGGGCCTCTGGCCACTGAGTGCTGCAGGCAGAGTGAGTGGTGCACTCGGCCAGACCCCCTGCCAGCCACGAAGCAGACATGACCACTTTGGGAGGAGACTGCCCGGCTCTCAGCGTGAACGCTTTGCGCGCAGCAGTTTTTCAGCTGGGCACTGTTCACACTGGGGCTGGTTCACTCTCTCAGGGGTCATCCTACGTATTACAGGACATTGAGCAGTATCTAGTGGGTGGCCTCCATGCCATGGAGAGATACTGTCACCCCACCTACCACAGCGCAGATGCCCCCAGATGTCATAGAAAGCCCCACGGTCAGAACCCCTGCTGTACATGAATTCTTCTTATTATTTTCTTTTAAATTTAACCTATATAGAGACAGGACTTGCTTTGTTACCCAGGCTAGTCTTGAACTCCTAGCCTCAAGGGATCCTCCCGCCTTGGCCTCTGAAAGTGTTGAGATTACAGGTGTGATCCACCATGTCCAGCCACAAATTCTTTTTATCCTAATGGCCTGTGAAGTGGGACCGTTTGCATCCTCATTTGACAGGGGAAGAAACTGAGGTATGGGCAGAGGGACATGGCCAGGTTTGTGCAGCTCCACAGGGCAGAGCTGGCCAGGACTCCCCCATGCACTGCCTCCTGGGACACAGGGGCCAGGTCAGGGCCAGGGATGGGACAAAAACCAACATCTGTGGGGCAGTTTCTCCATGCCAGGTGTTGCTTGGCTGAATCCTTATGCACACCTGCTGAAGTTGGGCTCACTGGGGGTCTGGAGAGGACACATAGAACCAGGGTCCCAGCCCGGGGAGCTCTTCGTGTGTGCTGGATGCCTGCCTGCATGTGCTGCACTAGCGCCCCCACTGGGCTGTTTCCTTTTATTTTCCCTGACAGCTTTATTGAGATGTAATTCACAGGCCACACAATTCATCCTTTTAAAGTGTGTAACTTGGCTGGGCGCTGTGGCTCAAGCCTGTAATCCCAGCACTTTGGGAGGCTGAGATGGGTGGATCACGAGGTCAGGAGATCGAGACCATCCTGGCTAACACAGTGAAACCCCGTCTCTACTT